AGCTTTAGTTGTCCCCACTTCATTAATTTACTACTTACGCAATGATTAAAGTTAATGTTGTGAATTTCCAATTAGTTAGGTTGTCGTATCCTGCCGCGCACTAGGAATGAAGAGCGCTTATGTCCCCTTCCATCTAAATATGTAACGCTAATCAAATTAATACTATATTATTAATCGAACTTAAAATAATAATTTTTTTATATTGCAAAGTATAACCGGTAAGTTTTAAACATTATTATTTATTATACAGTAGAATTGAAGTCTAGGTAACTACCTCAAATCCGTAGAATATATTGAAGTCTGATTTAATTCTTTCACGGAAGAATTGTTCTTTTGCATGCATTTATTTCTCCTTCCATTTATAGGATGACTTTTTGACACTATGCATTCCAATATCTGCTTTGTACTTGCCTCATCACTCTGTATTTGATTACACCTATAGTTTCATTATACTTTTATTTTCTTGAGTCCGAATTTAAAAGGGTAAAAAAAAAATTATTAAAATTTTAAAGAAGCATATTAATTTTTTTAATCAAAACGATAAAATTACTTACGGAAAAAATAAAATCGCTGTTATAGCAAAAAAAAATTAAATAAGTCGCTTCAAATGGAGCGATTTTCAAAATTAAAAAAAATATATACTTTTTTAATAAGTCGCTGCATCTTACATTAAACTTTTTTTTTGGCTTTATTTTTTAAAAAATTAAAATCAAATCTTGGCAAATCCGCTGCCAAGGCAGCGATTTTTAATTTTTTAATATTATTTTTTTGAAATCAAATCGCTGCAAAGACAACAATTTACACTTAATTTTTTTAAAAAAAAAACTTAATTAAATCGGCTAATTTTTTTGCAGCGATTTAATTAAAATTTCAAAAATAAAAATAAAAATTAAGTGTAAATCCCTACCTTCACAACAATTTGATTTTTTTTTAAAAAATAAAGCAAAAAAATTAAATAAATTTCAATATAAGTCGCTGCAAAAGGAGCGACTTCTTAAAAAAATTATAATTTTTTTTATTTTGAAAATCGCTCCATTTGAATCGACTTGTTTAAATTTTTTATTTAAAAAAGGGCAAATTTAAGAAATTGTTGCTATAGCAGCGATTTTGCTGCATCGTGAGCGATATTACTGTTTTGATTAAAAAATAATTGATATATCTTTTTGAAATTTTTGACAATTTTTTTGATTCTGCCCTAGAATTTCTATAAAAATTGTACTTTCTCATTTTAATTCATATATACTAATTTGATTGTACACCACATGTGTTAAAGAATAATTGAATTTGTAATATCAAATTAAAAATATAAAACTGTATCAAAATGTAATATTATGATTTCAAAATGTCATATATTAAAATATTGAATATAAAAAATGACATACTAAATAAAACGAAAAAAGTACTCGGGGAAGGTACTCTCCACAAAAAAATATTATATTTAATGGAAAGTAAAGGGACGTATATGATACTCCCTCTGTTGACTTTCTCTGGTCTACTTTATTTTATGTTTTTTTTATTTATTACTTTTAGCCTAAAAAGAAAAAAACAATATTTACTCATTTAAAATTTTAAAAATATACATCAATTAAAATATAAGTATATCAACAAAATATACATATTGATTAGAATGATAGGCGTACAAACTAATACAAGTAAAAATGAATAAAGTGTTCGAACTTGGAGACAACGGTTGTAAACTTCATGTGCGATCCTGCAAATCCAGTAATTCCCTTTTTACAGTGTTCCTATTTTACTGGCTTACGTATGAGAAGTAAAAGGTATTTAGTTTTCTACTTGATCCGTTGCCATAGTTTTATTATTTCGTATTCGTATCCAGATTTTTGAAAGGGTGCATTATTACAAAATAGCGTATATAAGATATAAATTTAATCGATTTAATTTGATCTTTAGATTTTTAATATGAATCGTGAAATTTTAAAATATTATAGATTTAAAATATATAGTAAGTACTAGTTATGATTTTTTATATGCACATTTAATTTAATTATACAAAAAAAACGGTGGTAAATTTTTTAGAAATTCCAATGTAACACGATTGATCTTTTTGGAAAGATTAGAAAAACAAAAAAATTTAATTAAAAACGCCAAAAGTAATTTTTGATGCTCATAAATTCTTCAAGGATGAGGAGGTAAATAGTAAATAAACTTTGTGTTATACTCGAAAACAACAAATTTGTATGTACAACTATTGCATGGCAAATTTGGGTAATGAGCATGGTCCCAGCTTTTTCCACACGTGTGAATTGCGATCATTTAATTTCTTGGAGTTGTCAAATGATACTCACCAACGTTTTGCTTCAATAGGCAGAGACCGTAGAGTTTTAGAGACAAAATCCCTTTTAAGTAATATTAGAAAATTTAATACATTATTAGAGTATAGAATTGTGTATACTATATCTTTACACTCTCCTAAATCAACAAATATTTTAATTCAATAAAAAATTGTGCACAAATAATTATTCCCTTCTTTTATGAAGCTTACAGGACTAGAACACATGGTTTTAAGGGATTTTTACGTCACTATAATCACTAAATTAAAGTTTTTGTGTGTATGAAAAGATGTTAATATTATATATAATTCAAAATCACTAAATTAAAGTTTTTGTGTGTATGAAGAGATGTCAATATTATATATAATTAAAATTTGATTTTTATATATAATGTAATTTTTAGATAAATGGGTGTTGCTTGATACCCTGGATGGGTATGCCCCTGCTTGTCATTTTATAAAATCACTACATAAATAGCACTATTCTTCTTATTTTATCCTTGAGAGTATTAATTTTGAAATTATAAATTTGACTAATATAGAAAAACCAAAAGACTAAATCATGTTCAATGTTCATTTAATTAGTCAAAATAAACTAATTTATATTCATTTGTTGAAAAATTTGACTTTAAAAAAATACTTAATAAGGATACAATGATAACTTAAATATTTTTCTTAAGAAACACAAAATATAAAATAACATATACATAAAAATGAAGGGAGTATTTTAAAAAATTCAAAATCTTAACTATTTTTAATTATACATATAATTCTTTTTGATACTAAAAAATATCCAACGAACAAGAATATCACGTTTTTTATTAATGGACGTAAAAATGGTCAATGTCTCTAAAAGCATAAAATTTCAAAGTTGTAACCTGCAAGCAACATAAGAAATGATTAATGTGTAGTCAAAACATTAGGTTCTTAAGAGAAAAATGTCTCAAAAGAGTAAAATTTAAATTCAAAAGAAGTGATGAAAGAGAAGAATTATTTATTTTCAGGATGTAAACAATTTGTGTGTCTTATTTCTCGCTTTAATATTTACGCCCAACAATTTCCTTCAACGAACGAACACGTTTGGCTTCTTATAGCAATTATAATTAATGAATCCTTTTGACAATTCGATCATATTCTATGACAATTATTTCATTCACCTGTATATTCTTATTAATGAGATTCTCTACAATATTACTGTGTTGATCTCAAAAAAAAAAAAGGGCTACCCCACTGTCCTATAACGTTAAATCAAATTTACTTTTCATTTATGCGGCTAACCAGTACTCAAAAAATAATATTTAAAGTGTGACATACCCCTTAAAAAAATCAGGCAATGACATTAATTAAATGGTAATTAATTACTCTTTTGCCTTTTTGTCAAACTTTTTAAAAAAAAAATAGAAATAGTTAAATCACTTTCTTTGTCAACAGTACTTGTTTATTACTGTATTATTTACTTTACACATTTAAAAGAAAATCATATATACAAGGATTATTTTAACCAATTACCCTTTATTATATAATATAAATGATTATAATAAAAATAAATTATAAATAAATAAATACTATTTAACATATCAAAATAATATACTAAACCAGTGTTGTTTCATTTTAGCTCTCAATCCTAGTACACGTAAGTTACCATAAAATTTCTACCAGTCGGTGGTTAAAACTTAAAAATAGGAAAAACATGCATATCTACCTCAAATGTGAAAGAAGTTAACTTGTCCCATCGTTACCAAAGACTTAAAAGGGCTTTCGGTTGGACAATCGTTCTCACGTCACTCTTTTATTTTTATTTATTACTAATGTTAAATATATCATATATGCATTTTACTAATTATCTTTTATGTTTTGTATTGAGTCTTGAAATGACACATATATATCTTCAATGATTGATATATATATTTTATTAAACTATCCTTATTAAATAATATTTGATATTGAGTCTTAATTCGAAGTATAAGTATTTAATTTTAGAGTAAAACATGAAAAAAATAATTGTCTTTTTTTGATATGTCAAAAATGACAATTAAAAATGAAATTCTATTTTAGAAATAAGTAAAAGTGAATAAAGAAAATAGTTGTTAACTTTTATTTATATACTTTTCTTGAGAAATTAAATATATGAACAGTATTTCTATTCCTGCCAGGTTATTTTACATGAAATAAAACATAAGGTTACTAGTGGATGACCACATTAACTAAATTAATCTAATCATTGATGAAATGGCTATAGAACGTGACCCATTTTCGTTAATTTGATTGGTGAGATAAAAATGATAATTTTAAAATATTTTTATAATTATAAATACAATATTTATTTTTTTATAAAAAATGAAATAAAATAATTCAATTCATAAAATATTTTTCTCTTTCTCATTACAAAATAAAAGAGTCGGTAAACAGTAAGTATAGTATTAAAGTAATTAAAAAATTTGAAATTAAATATTAGTGAGCAGTCACTAGTGTAATCTAATCCTGGTTGTACAATCCTATCTACTAACCTTATCTGTTTGTCCAATTATGTCTAATTAAACATTAGTATTTCCGTCCATAATTCTCCGGCAAATATCTTTTATCTTATTCTTATATATTTATCCGCTTAACGGCGACGTCATAATTCCGTTACTGTAGGAAAACGATCCGTCACAATGGTGGACCACAAGATGAAGCGCCCAATAATACGAACCTAATCGAATCATTCAACGGAATGCCTATTATCATCATTATCACCATCACCGTCTCTAACACTTGTTCTCTCTCCCCACTGCTGCGCTGCGGCAAAAGAGGATATCTTCAGTCAGATCGTACGATTCTGGTGTGCATAATTCTGCAATTCTACCAATTTATATAACAACAATTTCTGTAACTTGTTCAAGTTTATTACTTAGAATTTGAGAGAGATATCAAAACATTGATGAGAAGAAAGTATAAGTGCAAGTCGAAGGGAATTATTGGAGAAGTTGTGATTATGGAGGTTGCGGAGGTAGCAGTGAAGATGACAAGAGAACGGGAGGTTTTAGAGGTGGTTGACACAAGGAAGAGGAAGAAGCGTGATGGTGATTTGGAGATGTCACCAACTGTAGCTCGTGTTAGAAGGAATTCCGTAATCTCAGAATCTCCAGCAAGCGAGCTTAGTTCCCAGGGAAATACTGTGTTGTGTGAACCGGCTGTGAGTTCGAACTTTGATAACGTTTCAGCATCTGGTTTTGGAGATAATGAATCAAGCAATGTCACAAAAGGAAGCTCGAAATTTTTAGATCTGGATGTATGTGAAATTAAACTCTTTGAATTTTACTAGTTTCGCTCTTCCATTTTTCTGCTTTGTTATTTTCAGGTCTGATAGTAATGCATTAGAATTGGAGCGAATTGTTATGCTGTTCTATAACTGTTCATTTATGGCGGACTGATATTTGAATTTCGAATTTCGAATTTTTCAGGAGGACAGTGTGGAAATTGCAACCAGTTATTCAGAGTTGAGAGAAAGGTAAATATGCATTCTATATGTAATTTTAATGGCGTTTCAATTCACTTTCAGATCCGCCTTTTCTTTCAACGTTTATTGAAAACAAAGAATCATTCTGCAGTAGAGAGATAATACTATCATCCAGCAAATTCAAAGTTGAATTTCAATCCACACCGAAACCACAACATGCTAAATCTTGCCGCCGCCGATTGACAGAGGCAACTATGCCCTCCGAGGCTGAGCTTGATGTGTTCTTTGCTGCAGCCGAGAAAGATCTCCATAAACATTTTGCAGAAAAGTACAAAAACTCTCTCTCTCTCCCTATCTCCTTTTTTTTCAAAATTTTGCATTACTCATGAAAGTGCGTGCTGTAACAGATACAACTTTGACTTTGCAAAAGAGGAGCCATTGGAAGGTCGCTACGAATGGGTTCGACAATGAAACCACAAGGCCAAGATCATCAGTTGCTTCTTAATCTAATTTGTTAGTAGTATTTCCAAGTATATTTAACTGTTCACTCTTTTAAACTAGTACTAGTACTACTTGTCTTATTTTATTGCTTTATGATTGTGGTTTCCATGGGGCGGGAGTTCAATTTGAATATGTACAGGCCGGGATCACGAAATCTCTCTTTGTGTTAATATTAACCCAGAAGCTGCCTCTTGCAAATCATCATTTCCAATATTTTCGAGTTTCATCTTAACCTCCTTCGTAATGAGGCGTAATTAAATTATATAAAATAGGCCGTTGTTACAGTACTTATGATACTGCTGGAAATGTACATTTTCTTCTGGGACTAAAAGAAGTAGAATGGAATATTTGGTGGAGGCATTGAGAGGGTAGGCAGTGATAGGTTAGAGTAGAGAAAAACGCAGCAATAGAGCTTGCCGTGTAAGTTACGGACACGTGCTGACTGCTGAGTAAAGGAAAGCTATTCTTGTACAGGCTTTTAGTAGTGTGGACCTCTCCATGCAGTCACAAAGTACTTGCTTGGGGTGAAACAAATAATTACTATTACCTTTTCTTTTTTTTTCTCTTTTGGTAATTTGGGTTTCATTGTACTCCAACTGCTTATGCAAGAAAACTGACTTTGCATTATGTCTGCTTCTTCTAGCTCTAGGAAAATAACACATGAACTAGTGAAGTGCTCAAAAATTTAAAAATTAGCATGAAGAAAAAGTTGTTTGAGGGTAACTGTTGTAATTGAAAGAAATGGTAAAAGATCATTTGTTACTCCAGCATTCTTCTTGGATCTGCTGAAATAGGCTTCCTTATTTAGGGTACTGTACTCCTGCTGCTGTGTACCTTGATTTGTGGACTATTGTAATTTAAGTGTATACTATTGCTGAAAATATATATTCGGTATCAGTTTTACATCCGCATATTATATAAAAAAATATACCGTTTATCTTGGTCTTATCTGATATTAACACTTAAAATTTATATAAAATTGAACAGAGACTTGAGTTCTAAGTGGCCTGGCATAATACATGCCAACGCCCCATAGGACACAAAATCGTTATGTAGCATGTTATGTAAAATGAAAGTGTCTATTTGTTCGATTTTTATCACCCAAAATTAGAGGGCATAGATGTCAACTTAAACCAAGTTAAATGAATTTTTTTTATTTGAGTCAAAACAGACAATTTAACTTTAGTCATATATAATTATGTGAGAATACGTATTACTTAATTATAGTTAAATAAATAAATTAATAAATAGAATAATCCATTTCACAAAGCATTCTATGTTTATGAATGATTTTGAGAAGGGTTGCACTCGAGGAGCGTGATCTAAACAACCTACTATAATGCAAATATTAATGACGACTTTCATGGTCCAAACCTATTTCCTATAAGTCACACATGCAAATAAGTTTCTACAGTTCCTCGCGATAATGTGGCTTAATGCTAACTGTGCATCAACTAATTGAAGTAATTACCCTTTTTGAGTGTTCTTTTGATGCAACTTTTCTTACAGTAGTAAATTACCGCCAATGTTCTTACTTTTTGCAAGGTTTTTCCTGAGTACATTTTGTTGAATTTAAGTTATATATGTTTGTTAATTAGTGTAAGAATACACCGTCAACAAAAAATTCTTACACTAATAGTGTACTACTTTCTAGAATTTGAGCACTATTTGTTATGCGGCAGGACAGAAAATTAAAGTCTGCACATAATCATGCATCTTTATTTGGTATAAAGCCATCTTATGACTTTGCTGCAAGTTCTTTTGTCGCGTATAAATAAAGGATATAAACGAAAAGGGACCCAGCAATTGCTAGTTACTCCCTAGTACCCAATTCATTTTATCTGGTTCATGTTGACTTACGGTAGAAATATATATCATAAGAGGCTATTAATCTTGTAAATTATGCTTTACGAAATCTATATCTGACTAATAGTGCTTTAAAAAGTTATTTCATAATCAGGGTTAGTATAAGAGAATTTTCAAAGAACTATGTACAAATAACCACGTAAAGCTGAAGATCTCATTTCTCAGAGCGTGTTTGGATTGATTTGAAAATTGGTCAAATCTATTTTCAAGTCATTCTTTTAACTGCTGCAACTGTTGACAAATATTAAAATAACATATAATAAGTCAAAATACGACTTAAAATAAGTTAGAAAGTGTTTGATAAGATTAAAAATAACTTTAAAATAAAAAATAGATATCTCCCTATATTTTTTTTTTGACTTAAAAGTCAAGTTTGACTTTTTATTTTTTACTTAAACTACTACTTTTAAGTTAATTCAAAGAGACTCAAAGTTGTCTTCCTCCTAAATGTCTTTTCTCCTCTCTGTTTTCAATTAGCGTTTCCTTTTGCTGGTTAAACAATCAATTTAACACATGCCCTAAAACTTTAGCTACTTAGCTTTAAGATTCAAATCATTGTAGCAAAATAATTAGGCAATGCTAGTTACTGTCATAATTTGAATCCATGTAAAGAAATAAGTCACCAATATTCGATAGCATATTGTATAAGACATCCCCTCTACAGAATACAACATATTGGAGTTCGATAGAAAATGGAATCATTCATCTTGAGCAAAATGTAGAATGATCCAGTATCTTATCGACTGAAAAACATTAAGTAATTTTACATCATCTCTAACTCTGTATCTTACTCTTTTCGGGAGTGCCCTTTAAAAGGAAAACAAACAAAGTCATGTCTGTACAAGTTTCTAATGGGGAAAAAAATAACTGAAATCACACGGAGACAAAAATATAACTGTACTGATCTTTTAAGAAACGTTGATTTTACTTGATAGTGCGAGTTCTGATGACCTTTCTTGATGTTGTTGATGATTTCATATAAGATGTCCGTGGGAAGATATTTGAGCTTGGAAAATTGGTCTTTCAACAGTGATACTTAATGAACTCTCTTAAATAACTACGATGGGAGTTAAAGATCACTAATCTATACTTAAAATGTTTAAACAATTTCGAGAGAACCATTTGATCTTGTGGACACTGATCGGGTGGAACTGTTCTTTACAGAACGAGGAACAGATCTCGTAGAACCTTCTGTGGGAATAGTGGAATACTGCATGATCAATGTTTTCACTATCTGTCTGAATTTCCTTCTATAAGTTGGAAACTTAGAAACACTTCTAATCATTCCCACCATCCTGCCAAACCAACAGAATAAATTCTTCATCATTTACTACATGTATCATGACGACACACAAATTTTGCTTCAACACTGCAAACTTGTAATGAAGATATAAGCAAAGAGGCTTACCTTCGGCTTATGCCTTCAATTTGAGCTACCCTGAGAGAATCCTGAGGTGCTACGCTTCCATTTTCCCAGGCCTTAAAGCGTTCAGAGTTGCTGTCGAAAAGGACCACTTTCTCTAGGAACCTCATTTCACCCTCTTCTAGGCTCAGGACTCTAATTTGTTCCTTGAGGACCATAACTGGTTGGAAAAACCAGTCTAATAATCTGTCCTGAGGTCTGTTCAACTGAGTGATCTCAAGATCCTCTAGAAGGAACAATCCATCTGATCCGGATTTTATGGAATAAAAGATTATCTGTAGAAATGTATAACATGCTAAACCAACATTGATGACTGCAACATCAACTCCATGTTTTCCCTTCAACCAATCATCCAGGTCGTTGGGGGTTATCACTTTCTCGTCCAATAATTCCTTGCCCCTTATTTCACATGATTTCATCATGTTCTGCCACACCTTTTCATTGTTGTGACATGTCAATTACCCAATTTCACGGTTTATAAGACAAGAAAACTATGATTCTGTTTATGAAAGATAAGTCGAATTGTGTGACTATCTTATCTAAAAGCTTAAGTTATTAAAAGAGAAATGCTTTCATTTACTTAATTAATCTTCAAAGTATATATAAAGATGTTACTTGATTAATCTTCAAAGTATATATAAAGATGTTACTTGTTAGCATTTTGCAAATTAGCCATTTCTCATATTTGTCAGTATTTTGCAGATTAGGCAGAAAGGAAGGGACAAAGAAAAGCACACCTGCACCATTTTCACTTCTTGTATTGCCTCCCGCACTGATCTAGATGACGTTAAGCTTGGCACGAGCATTGCAGGTGCTTCAGCAAATATCGAGTTTAATCTACCTTGTACTGAGCTGTTTCGTTTCACAGAGTAATCTGACGAATTGGATCCCTTCTTGTTCCGATAACGAGGTCTGGCTGCGATTAAGATGATCAGTAACATTGACAAATATGAAAACCGTGTATACAGAACTAAGGGAGAACTCAAGTAATTACTTTGGAAGAATGGACCCTTCTCTAAGGTAAAGCCAATCATTTGTGTACTCATCAAACTCTGCCACCATTGCAACCACGAAAGCAACACCTCTTTGGAAGGACCTCTCCTGATATCACAGTTTTTAACTACAGATAAATCCGACGGTCACACTAAAACAGCAGACAGAACTGAGAAACTAAAGAGGCAACTACGGAATAAGTTACCTGATAGACGATAACAGCTCCATATAATCCAATGAAAAAACTGGAGAAAACAGCCATTATGACACTTCCAATGACAACAAGAGGCCACAGTAGGATTGTTAATCCCGCAATGGGAATGCAAGCAGTTTCAAGAAATGGGCCTTCGCGGCTTATCAGATCATGTATGAGTCTGTACCATCCTTTGAACAACATGAATGGGCTCTTTACTATGGCTATAGCAGTGTAAAGAGGAATTTCCACAATCAGTCCCAATAAACCAACCATGATACATCCTGGTACATGGATGAATCTGCAACACGACATTTTGCACATTATTTTTACTGGTTATCAAAAAGAGAATTGAATAGATACAAGTAGCCAAATAAGAAATCGGAACATTCTATATATATATAACTTTGATTGGTAGTATCCTTTTTTTTTTCTTTTTCCTGCTTGATATAAAACTCTTCCCACAAATCATATAAAATATTTTTGTCTTGTATTCTAGTTTATTTCTTATCATTTTCTGGACTAAATGCATTACCATTTTCCTTCTTTTCTTGATTTTTACTCTTTTATTCTGGAGCAACTACAAAGTTGTCTCTGCGTGGTTTCCAGTTCAAGCCGTGGAAACAACCATTATGGTAGACTGTCTACATCAACAGGTGTACCCCTTCCCCAACTTTGTTAACACAGGATATTTGTGCACCAGACTGTAATGTGTTCTTTGTGATTT